ATTGATTGATTGATTGATTGATTGATTGATTGATTGATTGATTGATTGATTTACCTGTCCCTTTGAGTTCTCCTGAATCACAGCGGAGTTGTTTGGAGCGACGAGCAACCTGAGGGAAGAAGAATGAACCCGAGGTTAAAACCGAACCCACACAGACTTCTGACCACCAGAGGAACTGGGAGAGGAACTGGGAGGGTTTACTGGTTTTCTTTGAAGTAGGTGAAGCCCACGAAGGGGAGCTGGTTTCCGACGAAGGCCTTCGGCGTGGGGAAGGTCTCCACGTCCCCTTTGTCGTCTTCTATCTCGTCAAAGTTGCTGGTGTCGATGTCGCTGCTGAGCTCTGGCACCACGGGGGCCGCGGCTGGGGGGGGGGGGGGGGGGCACTGGTGAGTTATTCTGCTGTGGGGAAGCTCTGCACTAGGGTTGTCACGATACTAACATTTTTACATTTTTATACAAAATATTTTCTTTTGTCTAATTCAAAAGCCTCTTCTCTAAAAAATTGCAAACTGAGTAGGGCTTCTTGGCAGAAATATGATTTCCACTCTGCCTCAAAAGATGAACTTACCTATAAGCCACTTTGTAAAACTGAAAGGGGTTTTACTCAGGAAAATACTCGATACTTGATACCATTTTCGATACCACAAGGATAAAAACAAAGACCCCAAAATTGAACTGAATTGTGTCTTTCATTTCAAACTGACCTGTTACTGATGTTATCGTGACTGGAGGCCCACATTAATGACCCTAATCCTAACCCTGACTCTAAACTTAACCCTAACCCTGACCCTAACCCCAACCCTGACCCTAACCTTAACCCTAACCTTAACCCTAACCCTAACCCTGACCCTGACCTTAACCCCAACCCTGACCCTAACCCTTCATAATTGTGAGAAATAAATATTTTTTGGTTAAACTTGTTTGGACTTATTGTACAAACCTATTTAACATCCACTATTTTAACATAATATTATGGATAGAGTTTACTTCAGTGTTTGCAAGATTCATTTCACTATTTTTAAATTAATGTCTATATTGCCATGAAGCAATTAGGATTTTCTTGCCTGGGATCTTCCTGTTGGTGACCTAATCAAAATGGCCGACTTGGATGTGGGCGGAGTTGGATATGTACTTTATTAATGGTAGCATGTTATTATTAGCCATTAGCCGCAGCTAGCAAGGCTAACGTCTTGTTAATGATCATAAACAACGTAAATAAATACATAAATAAATCAGAGAGAAGGGGGGGTATCAACACTTTTGAAAACGAGTATCGTATCCGGATACAACATTTAAGTATCGATACTTTTGACCACCCTACTCACTGTCTCTGAGGTTGTCGAACGTCCACTGGTCGTTTTTGAAGAACGGGTGCCGTTTGATCTCCTCCACGCCGTTTCTGCCCAACCGCACCTCCCTCAAAAAACAGAGAAACCAGAGTGAAAACCCCCCGAACATGTAAAATAGGGACGTCCACATCCAGCTTTTTTATCCCGATCCCAGCCTATCAGAGCGTGTGTTAAAGTCTAAATTTATTTATCTACTTACTTAGTTGTCAGACTCATGTTGAACAGGGATTTACTCTGATAACAACTTAATGGTTAGGACACAGACCTGTGGGTTACAGATGCTAATGCTAACGCTAATGGGTGATTTAGGATTTTATTACCTCTTTAAAAAAAACACTAAAAACCTTTTAAACCCAAAGAAAAAATCTAATCTAATCTCAAATGTAAGCTGTTATAGCTATTTATGAACTATTGAACAAAGAGGGTCACATCTCTGGTGGAAAACCTCCAAAACCGGCACAAATGGAGCCTTTTTTTTTGGGGTGCCTTCAAACTAGGGATGTCCCCATCCAGCTTTTTCTCTTCCGATCCGATCCCGGCCTATCAGAGCATGTGTTAAAGTCTAAAGTTATTTATCTACTTACTTAGGTGTCAGACTCATGTTGAACAGGGATTTACTCTGATAAAAACTTAATGGTTAGGACACAGACCTGTGGGTTACAGATGCTAATGCTAATGCTAATGCTCGTGTGGGATCGGACTTTAAATAAAACTGGATCTGGAGTCTGGATCTGCATTTTCTCCTGCCGGAGAAAATTGGGAATATTGGCGGCCGATCGGATCCAGATATCGGATCGGGACCAGCAAATGATTACAACTAGTGAGGTCGTAGTTATTACTACACAAAAACTAAATCCAGAAGCAGTGAGTTAAAACCATCAGTTCATTGACTCACATCTGACTCTGAACGCTTCCAGAGGAACTTATGGTGGACTTCAAGGCTGATAATCAGTTAATCAATACACTGATCAGAAGCTCCTGGCTGCTGATTACTTTCTTATTTCCTACAGGAACAGTAACGGTGGACTCACATTTCCCCACACAGCTTCTAGATTTTGGTTTCATTGTAGTTATACAAAGCAAACTGACTATTTTAGAGCCCTAATGGGGACCCGATGACCTCCTGAAACAGTAGGGGGCGCCCTTTCTTTGCCGATCTCTCCTACCTGTCGGTCAGGAAGGCACAGATGATGTCTTTGGCGTTCTCAGAGATCTCCACGTCGTCGGGGAAGTTGAGGGAGTTCTTGTGGTCCATGATCTTGCTGTAGGTTCCCACCAGAGAGTCGGCGTAAAACGGCGTATCGCCTGAAACACAAACAACTGCTCAGAAAGGCCTCTTCAGGCTCCTTTTTTCATTTTTTCATAGACTTAGACTTAGACAGTACTTTCTTCTTTCTTAGGCCAAATAAGGAATTCAAACAAAAAAAAAGTAATTTTCTGTTTCGTTTTATTCTTGGATCAGGCTTTAAAGGGTTAACTTCAGAGTAGGGTCTGACCTGCCCTGTTTGGAAAGCGCTGTGAGACAACTGTAGTTGTGATGTGGCGCTATATAAACAAAATTGAATTGAATTGAATAATTGAATTGAATAATTCAGCGTCACTCACAAACTTTGGTCAAAATGGGACTCCTACAGGGTAAAGTGTGCTGTACCTCAAAATGATTCATGATTCATCGTTACTTTCAACAAACTGCATTTTTGTCAACTGCTCTCTATGTCGAACTGTTCTGTGTTATTAATGTTGTATTGAAAACTTTGAAAAAATAAAAATAAAAAAAAGAATAAATCAGCGTCACTTAACGAACTCTCACTGACCCACGAGCATCTCGAAGATGAAGACGCCCACGGACCACCAGTCGCACTCCCTCCCGTAGTAGCCGTCTCCGCCCTGAGACTTGAGCACCTCGGGGGAGATGTAGTCCGGGGTTCCCACCGCCGTGTCGCAGTGCACCATGCCGGTCTGCAACACAAAGAAGGCTCTGACCTTTGACCTTTGACCTTTACTGGTCCCGGCAGCTAAAAGACCGACCGGTTTCCCAAAGAGAATGAAGAAAAAGCTCACACGTATCGGTCAGAGGTCATTCAAATGGAGGATAATGTTTTGGTTTTTTAGTTTTTTTCTTACAGAGAAGATGGACGGTATAGAGATGAGTTACCCAGCTTCATTTCAATTCGAAAAATTTAAGGTAACGGCAGAAAATGTATACACTAAGATCGTTTTATGGTATTTGGAATCCATTCATAAAATATTTTGAAAAGCTCAAGACACTTCCTGAGAAAACAGTAAACCATCAAAATCTGATGGCCAAGACCTACAGAATTTAAAAGAATAAGGCTATTCTGTCCCCATTTGTTATGTATAGGAACATACGTCCATATCTGCATATACATGGTTAATGCTTTTTCACTACTCCTTGGTTGTATTTGTATTTGTTATCATAACTACTTTTTTTGTCTTTCCTTTTCTTTAAGGTCTAAGATGTATATGTGTATAGAAATGACTATTGTTTTATTGCTTATTGATCTTGTGGGTAGATAGAACAGTAGTTCTGAAGGGTGCAATTTTAAATGTTTAAAACACCAAAATATAGATCTTGAGCCAAGAATGTAACTCTGTTTTCTGTTTAATAAAAAAGAATATTTAAAACATCCCGAAAAAATTATGTTAAGAAGGAGAAAAATGTCTTATTTTGGGCCCCCTAAACTATTGGGACAGGTTCCTTTTTGCCTCTTCTCTCTACTGGATCAAGATACATGGAAATTTGTCTCAAATCTTTTTTAACTCATTGGCTGCCAAAGACGTTTATGGACGATTTTATGATTTTCAACGAGAGTGGCTGGGGGACGATCTGCTAAAGCTTGTCCGTAAATATCGGCTTCTAGACAGAGTATGTAGTAACAAATTGACCCTCTAGGGGGCAGTGCCACTTTTGATGGGAGATGAGCATAGACTGTAGGCAAATAAGAAAAAGGTAACGGTTCTATGAGAGAACATGTCGCCGGTGAGACGCAAGTCCAGGAAGAACGAAATAAGGTAGAAACACATTTTTTTTCCTGATGAAAGAAGAGAGTCTACTCTTTCTTTTGGTGTGTTCGGTGTTTACATAGTCATAGCACAAACTATTCTGTGGCTCTTGACAAATCAGTCAAAATGCTCAAAAAAAACTCTGGCAGTCAATGAGTTAAAGAAACGTCGTTTTGGGGCTTTTTGCTAACATCTGTGACCTGGTCCAGTCTCAGACTAAATAAGTCTGACTCACGGCGTCCATCTTCATGCAGGTGCCGAAGTCGGCCAGTTTGAGGTGGCCCAGGCTGTCCAGCAGCATGTTGTCGGGCTTCACGTCGCGGTGGATGAAGCCCATGGAGTGGATGGCGTCCAGGGCCATCACCACCTCGGCCGTGTAGAACTTGGCCCACTTCTCGGGCACGTCGTAGGTGCTGGTGAGGTTGACCAGGTCCCCCCCCGGCATGTACTCCATCACCATGTAGAGGTAGTGCTCATCTTGGAAGGCACAGCACAACTGGGGGGCAGAAGTCGGGGTTTTATTAGACTTAGAGACTTCTAGGTTCAACAACAACAACAACAACAAAAAAAGTTTTAAAAAAAGGAAAAAAGAACATGTTTACTGTTGTGTAATATTTACCTAGCTCCATTTTTGTAGATTCCATTTATTTTGAAACATGATATGATTTGACACCGTTTACATAGAATGCTTCATAAACATTAGGGGTGGGACGGTTCACAAAATCCACGGTTCGGTTCGATTCACGGTTTTGGGTTCGGTTCGGTATGTGTTGATTGTTAGGAAAATCTATTATGTCTTGTATAGTCAGGTTAAAACTGAAAGAAAAAAGCAGTCTGACATGTGATCCATTATTGTGACAGTCTTAGGTTAAAGTAGGTGAGATTCTGGCATTAGAGAGGAAACAGTGCTAATTCCAACATGTGCTTCCCTCTAAATGCAAACTGGTCCATACAGCAGACCTAGAAACTGCTGCTGGGTCTGATTTTTATCGGCTACGCTGCTTCTTCTTCTTCTTGTTTCCTACTGGTGGTTGGCTTTGGGCGCAGTAGCGCCCCCTTCTGGTCTGGAGTGTAAACGCTTCCCTCTGAGAAAAAGGAGCAGCAGGAACCGAACGCAACACACGCCAACCGAACCGAGACAGAACCCAACGGTTCAGACGGTTTTCAGAAACCGTCCCATCCCTAATAAATATGCATCATGTTTCAAAAAGCAGGATGAAGCATAAGCTTATTAAGCCCTACCCCTAAAACTTAGACTTAGACTTCCTTTATTGTCATTGAACAAAAAACACAAGGTGAATTTTTAAAACGAAATGTCGATTACTTGGCTACCAGTGTAACAGCTAAGACCTTATTCCTGCACAATAAATATGTTTTGTATAGTATTCTATAACTAAGCGCTAAGAGCTAGCTACAGAGGGGGAAATAAGTATTTGACCCCTTGCTGATTTTGCAGGTTTGCCCACTTACAAAGAATGCTTATTTTTCCTCATCAGATGGTTATCAATTTTTATAAATTCATATGATGTGATTTTCTGGAATTTTCTTTGGGATTCTGTCTCTCACTGTTAGAATGTACATATGATTAAAGTTATAGATCGTTGCATTCTTTGTAAGTGGGCAAACCTGCAAAATCAGCAAGGGGTTAAATACTTATTTCCCCAACTGTATACACAGGGTAAAGAATTATATTTATACATATAGTGGGGGTAATTAAGTATTTGACCCCTTGCTGATTTTGCAGAATTCCATTCTTTGTAAGTGGGCAAACCTGCAAAATCAGCAAGGGGTTAAATACTTATTTCCCCCTCTATATATATAGCACTGACTTAGTGAGTCAGAGGGAGGAGAACTACAGCTAAAGGGGAGAATTATGGCTCTGGGATGGAAAAGCTGTACCTGCACGACCCAGGGACTGTTGGCGAACGCCATGATGTCTCTTTCTTCCCAGAAGAATGCAGAATCTGAGCGCTTGATCATCTCAAACTTGCTCAGCAGCTTCAAGGCGTAAACTTTCTGTGAGGCTTTGTGTCTGACCTGGATGGTTACCAGAGGAGAGTTAGCAGAAACGTAAAGGCTCTCCGGAGCCAAACATCACTTTAGAAAAAGGGGAAATCCAGACATTTTTGATGCCCTAAAAGTGTTCTTCAAACAGGAAATCATATTCAATACAGACATTGCCTTATTGGGAGTAACACCTACAACTATTATTACACAAAATGAAAAATATCTTTTGCTCTAAAATGTATAACAATCAAAATGGCTCAAACCTGAGCCTCCTTTCTACAATATATGGATCAAGAAGGTCTGGGATATATAACAAATGGAACAGATAACATATTCTCTGAGACTACAAATACCCATATTCACTAAACGTTGGAGACCTGTCGTACCACTAATAATGCAATGATGTTTTTTTATTTGTTTTTTTTCTTTTCTTTTTTTTTCCCAACTCTCAAAATCTGGAACTTTTACCTTTCATACTCTTGAAATCACCCTGTTGTTTGTGTTTTGTTTTTTATGTTTAAAAGCTTACATATACACATGTACATTCGTACCACACTGTATTATTTCTGAAAAAATAATAAAAAATGTGTTTAAAAAAAAAAAAAAGGGCCAAATCCGACAATTGTCGAGTGTTCTCTGAAAGCTTGTGAAAAGAAAAGGGAAGCTTTGTTTTATTTTCCACCCTCTGATGAGCTCTGAAGCCCCAGATGTTGCCACAAAAATTTGATTCGATTTCAGGTATTAAACCAGATTCAACCTCAAATAAATAAAATAATAAATAATAATTATTAAAATAATAAAATAATCTCCCTCTGGGATTATTAAAGTATTTCCGATTCTGATATAATTTTTTGTGACTGACTGGCATTACAGCATTCAGTTTAAGATCATTAAAAGATCATTAAATAGCTCACCAACACAAACAGGCGTCTGAAAAAATATGTCACTCAAATAAGCTGAATTAGACCAACAAAAGTGGGATTTTAGTAGTGAAAGTAATCATGCTAAATCCAAAATAAGACTAAACCAAACGAGCCAAAGCCACTAAGTTACAGCTCTACTTTATATGCTCAACTACACCAAAATGGGCTCAATGGTTTAATCTTTTTTTCTATTTCTGTGAACGAATAGAGGCAATTATTGGCACACTAATAATGTCCAGATTTGTATAAGTTGGGCTCCAGGTTATAACAGAATGTCCTCGTTGCTTACTCAGCTTAAAAGGGAGAACAAATAAGTCATCGAGTTACAAATCATGTAATCATGAATCATGTTTAGAGGACTCAAACATGGTGTGACTAACAAGATCAAACCAAACAGAACTGTTCAAACTTTTCTACTTTTTCCTCCTCTTTAAAAAAAATAATAATAAATTCACCTGATTTAAATTCGAGACCAAACCGGCTCGACCGGAGTCTCAGCTTGAGAAGATTAAGCAACAAGAAACCAGATTTTTCTGTTTTCCAACCAGTCATTAGAAGCATTGTTCAAAGAGACAAAGCCAGAGAAGGCAAACACACAGCTACAGGCAGAGGGGGATTTAATGACCCCGTTATAGCATTACCCACATCTCTGAGGGCTTTAGCACACAGGTGGGAAACTCATTTAACACGAGCTGAGCAGGTTTGTCTTAACGAAACCGGCCATGTCTGACTTTAGAGCTCTGTTTAAATCGAAAATATATAAGGCCAGAACCCTTTGAGCACCTTTAGGACTGATTAACATATTAATAGTTAGTTAAATCTGAAAATCTGATTAACA